AATTTTCTGCTTTCCCGCGCTTAAGCGGATAGCGGGCCATCCAAGCGGAACTATTTTTTTATTATGTATTTATGGAATTTCAATTAGTTTTAGCTCTGGTTTTGCGGGTTTAAAATGGCGCCATTTATAGTAAAATTTGGAAAAGTGGAAGTACAACCTATAATTGGTTGTACGGAGTTACACGATCTACATCACCTCTGCTGAGGTACATACATTTGTGACTATGACGAGATGGCGTTATTCCCATGTAGTATATGGCTCAATGTGTGCATCACGTTTCTCCACGATATGCACTTTGTACCATTTCTCAATAGTGAAAATGATCAAATTGGGCAAGTAATTAGATGTCGAACAAAGCGAAAAATAAAAAGGCGGATCGTATACTGGCGGAAACAGATCGGAGGGGCAATCCGAGATCGCCCCGAAACAGGAAGTTCGCCTGAGACTCTTGCCGATTTTCCCTTTTAACAACAATTATTGGCTAGTCCATCCGACGAGCCACCGGCGGACGACAGCCAGTGATTTGCGATCGTGACTTTTGAGCCGTTAATCGAGACTATTAACCATAATGATCCTAGCCTCGACACTGGTATACCTCTTGCAGCCAGTCCGGGGAGAAAAGAAAGGAAGGAGACAGTGTCCACTATATAATATCCCGAAAGGGATAGCTCTATCACTACTTACTATTACCTAGATCAGGACAATGTTGCGCAATATACAACGTAGCTGACCTACTTGGATTGATCTTAACAGCGCAAATCACTAAATCTGTGATACACCAAGAGCTGACGTGCCCGGGATTGCAAGAAGAAACCGGAATGGCATCACCGCATCCGCGTCTTCAACCCCGATACAGATACAAAAAACAGGCCATGGCGTGATCAAGTCCCTCAGCTCACTAGTAACTACAGAGCTCCGAGGAAACGTTTACTATGTTCGGCTCCATAGTGGGTGAGTCAGGAATCCTAACCCGACGCACGAGCCCAAACAAGCTGCAATTCTTCAAGCTCCCTGCATGCACATAACGTGTCTGTGCTGCAGCCCAGTACCTGAGCACCCTGCGCGCGAGGCCGATGCTTATAGGTGAGTGTGAGCGGTTAACTGCTGATGATGCTGTTGCTGTTAGGTAATTAGTGTGCGCGGCGGGGATGGTGATTCGTCAGGGGCGCACCTTGTGAGCACGGAGCATATCTTGACAGTGGAAGGGCTAGAACCTTTCGTTTTGGATGTTGATCATTTGTATATCGTACTTTATATGCTAGTATTTTGATATCACTCTTTTTGCTCTTGATTTCCTCTAAGGAGGGTTCACAGATCTCGCAATTGCTTAGACCCCCCGCAAAATGCAACCCTTGCAGTGCGGGGTAGGGGGCGGACAGGATAGGCGAGCGCCGTGGCCTCGAGAAGGGAATGCGTACCTCCTAAAAGTCCACTTTTATAGATCAGACGACTGAACTAATCCGTAGTTTTCAGGCGGTCAAGTGAAAAAAAAAAGAAAAGAAAAATTTTCCGGGTGGAGCTCCGCGAAGGGTCCTTTTCCATCGCGTTTTGTTGTCCCGATGCGGAAAGGCGGACTTTATTTAGGGGGGCGCTAGTCGAAGATCCTCTACAAGAGATGATGGCCGGT